GAGAGAGAGAGAGAGAGAAGACGAGAGCCGACAGGCGTTCTCACGAAGAAATGGAGAGCTGCGAGTTGAGACCTGTTGTCATCCTTCGCGTAATGCTCCACCCTTCCATGTGGAACGAGCTCTTCACTCCATGAATTCTCTGCCGTGTAACACGTTCGTCTGGTTACGATGGACCGATTAGTTTGCGAAATTCACGGCAACTTCGACGAAGCACCGTAGGGCGGTGTAGGATTACAGAATCGTGTAAGTTTGCAAAAGCGTCACCGAGACGACCCGAGTATCGCTCCCGAGACAATCTAACAGTTCGAGAATGCGGCAATTATCGAATGTCACGTTCGTGTCTTATTGGAATTTACTTCCCTTTACCTTCGTCGAAACGAAAATAAATGACGACGAGAGAAACAAGTTTGTATTATACTTGCGAACTGACAAGAAAATATTAAACCGATCGATATATCGGGAATAATTCAGAGACGGGAACTGAAATAGCGTGGTCCAATAATAATTTATACATTTATAATATTATCCTATTTTTATGAATAATATATTTTCTATCGGGAGGATAAAATAAAATTATACGAAAGATATATAAAACAACGAAAATATAAATTATTCATATTTTTCTAACATATTAAGTTTTCCATCTCTATTTTCATAAAGAGGAGATTCGCAAATTGCCAAAGTTTTTATTACATCCAATCGATCTCGTTCAATATGAAAAGCCGAGTTCATCAGCTGTATTTCAGAGTATTTCAAAAAAAAAAAAAAAAAAAAAAAAAAAAAAAAAAAAAAAAAAACTGCCACTTATCGCAGTAACAGATTAAAAAAAAAAAATATATAAAAATAACAAAAACCGGTGTACAGTAATAGCTACATTGATTAGATGGACAAACAGATAATCGTTTGCTCCACTGACCAGTTCAAGCGGGTAAACGAATAACAGTTTGATAGATAGATTAATCGTTCGGTTCTTTATTTGATTGCGCCATCGGATGTTGTACTGTATACATACACGCGCTACAAGTTACAAATTCATCAATAATCTACGCATGGAAACGTCATCTGCCTTTTTTGTTTGTTTGTTATATTCTTTTGTTATTTGATCTCTGGCGGCGCGTCCCGATTTCTGGCGCGCTTTTATCAGATATATACAACCGACCTCGACCGACGCAGCCGTGCGAGTCACAACGCGCGCGCGCGTAGTAGCATCGCGCGGGCGTGTGTGACAGATTCGTTCTCAAACAAAGCGGTTGCGCGGAAATAGTAAATAGGAGGCAAAACCCAATAACAGATAGAGAGAGAGAGAGAGAGAGAGAGAGAGAGAGAGAGAGAGAGAGAGANAGAGAGAGAGAGAGAGAGAGAGAGAGAGAGAGAGAGAGAGAGAGAGAGATAGAAACAGAGATAGAGAGAGTGCGCGCATAATTCGCCGGCATAATTACGCTAATTCTCTCTTGAATGAAGATTAACATCTCCCGATTGATAGGGCGATCGCGCGACATATGATATGTCGGATGTGATGTTTCAGACATCGACCGGTCAATCCGTAATCAGATACTCGATCCGGACGCGTAGACGCGTATAGCGCCCGTTCTTACGGGGATCAAAGGAACCGTATCTAATTATCTCGAGCACACGCCATACGCACCGGTATCCGGTGCAATAGGATTATCATACGGTCAAAGTGGGCGATATTCTCTCTCGCTTTATCGTACATACATTGTGATTTCTCTATCTCTATCTTTCTCTCTCTCTCTCTCCCTCCCAACGAGAGATATTAAACCCACCTCAACTCAACTCGAACAACGAAGATAGGCACGATTATGAGGGTCTCGGCTGCGCTCTATTGGCAAACGTAATCGCCTTAATAATTATTTCGCTACACACACAAGCGCGAGTTCGTCCTTCAGCGTATGTACGAACGTAATTCGACGAGAGAGAGAGAGAGAGAGATAGAGAGAGGAAGAGAGAGAGAGAGAGAGATTTCGGATGCTTTTTCTGACCAAAAACAGAGGAAGTACACCCGCCGCCACCGCCACCACCGCCGCCACCGCCGCCTAAACAATATGCGAATTACACACAAACGCGTTTATTCTTCGGTTAAATCCTCAAACGGTTATCTCCGCTCGTGCGGAAGTTGCGTACAAAGGGAGAAACAAAACTAATTTTGTGCATGTCGTTAATAATTCAATAAAAGAGATAACGCAACGCGTTTACACGAATCGCCGACCGGCATGTTTGCGCCAGTCAATAATTTTATTTTTGCGAGGAATTTAAAAACACGCTCTCTTCCTACCTTTTTCGTATAAATTAAGAGAGACGCTCGCGAGAGAACCCGCAAAACAGCGATTAAAATAAACATTTCTGGTTTTGTGAGCGATGAAAATTATCCGAGTTTGTAAACAGACACGCTTGATAAATTTTTCGATTGTTTTGGAAAGATACGCACTTGTGCACACACACCCACACACATACATACATATTGCTGACTACTTTCTTCGGACAATCGGTCATCAGAGACGACATCCCGTACGATCACTGCGAGTGCGAAGGGATTAATCGCGCGGGGTCAGCATCGCGCTCACTTCCGAGACGTAAAACGCCGCCAACTTGAACTTCGAACGTTAACTTCGAACGTAAGACCACACGTCGTAATTCTCCGTCTTATCCACCTTCGTTCCGACCCGAAGACTTGTGAAAGGAAGAGAGAGAGAGAGAGAGAGAGAAGCGGCAATGGACGCGCGCGCGCCTTTGCCCGTCCCCGTCTCGCAGGGAACACGAAATTTGCGCGAGGCGAGTAGTCGGTGAGCAGGCGTTAAAGTTTAAGGGTGCATAAAGCCGTCGAAACGCGATAAATATTACGGCGTCGTAAGTCTCGAGCCGTAACTGGGCGCGCCGCCGCCAAAAGGAGACGGAAAAAAGGAGAAAGAAGGCCCGGAAAGCTCTCGCACAAGCGCGCGAGCGAGACGAGGCAGGTCGACGAGGGTGGCGGAAACGAGGGTGGTAGAGTAGACAAGGGGGGAATTTTAAGACCGTTGTAGGGCCTTGAGGAGGTTGTCGGTCGTGCCAAGTTTCTTCGGCCTGTCGGCTTTTCGTCTCCCACACTGCATCCTCGCGCGACGAAATTTTCTCTCCCGCGCTGCTCTCTCGGCCCCGGCCGAAGATCGATAGAACTCGCGACGAGTTCGTCTCCGCGCGACTTCTCGCAAACGTGGCAGCAAATTTCACAAGCGCGAACAAATAGGGGGTGGAGGGGGACGACAAAAATCGAGCGCGAGAGACAACAGAGAAGTAAGATATTTGTTATTTGGTTTAACGCGTAGAAATATACATTTACAATGTTTGTGTAAATAAAATGACAGGAAAGTTCAATATAATGTAAAAGACAGATTTAACATTATCAATTGATCAAATTAATATATATGTATATATATATATATATATTCTTTTTCGTTACTTCGAACGCGCGCGAGAGGTATTTTTACGCGTAAAAACAGGTTTTTCGCGGTTGATCGTATCCTACATTCGCCTCGGCGAATGTGGAGTTCGTATTTTCTTTCTTTTTTAATCTCTTCTCTCTTCTCTCGCTAACGTGCGAGAGTTCGATCGCGTCGCCATCGGACGAGTGCGTTCCAACGTGAGCAAGCGAGCGTGAATTATACGAATTTATTTCACCGTACCACACCGTACGACCAGACGATAACTTTATTGCCAACCGTTAAAAAAGGAAAAAAAACGCTGAGAAATTGCTATTCTTTCGATCACTATTCCTGTATACTATTTCTCCTTCTCTCTCTCTCTCTCTCTCTCTCTCTCTCTCTCTCTCTCTCTTTTTATCTATCTCTATCTCTCCGTCTCTGCGATAGTATCTGGTACTATAACAATTATTTTTGCACGACACTGTATTTTTCTTCTCGTGCGAAAATTCAACGTTTCAAGAATAAATGATTTATCTTCTTCCTTCGCTAATTTTATTTTCACTCGAGAAAAACATTTTATTTTCAAATTAAAAACCACCTCTGCGTAATTCTAGAAAAATTAAATAATTTGACATTTTATTAGTCAAATAACTGTAAACGAATGACACTTATTTGTTGTCAACAATATTATGCGATCACAATCATCTGGCGAGAACGCCGGGAGTAAATTGAGAAGATCGTTAGACTGTAAGACTCGGAAATAGCTTCGTTGAATATTCCGAGCGGAGTGTCGCGATGGCTTTGGAAAGCTTATCGGAAAGACGCACTTTTATCGCGATGGTATTTCCGCGAGAGTGATTTTGATAGGAAGTATCCGGTCGTTTTTAGATTATCGCGATGCGTGGGCAAGTTGATTTAATTACAAACGCGCTCTACAATGGGAGTTAAGTTTCGAAATTTGAGATTTTGAATAGCACTCACGTTTCTGACATCTGAAATATCAAATTTTTTTAACGCTTCAATAATCCATTTGATATCCGTCGATAATGTAATTTCACAATTAACTCTTTTCATGTTAATGAAAAAGAAAGACAATACCACATTCTCGACATTGAATTTTTTTCGACACAAGTCGCTAGAAGAATGTTTAACATGCTTTTGTTCTATCAACAAAAACGAAAGCAAACACAAGATCACACGGAGAAGTAGTTATATTTGCGCAAGGCCAAAAAACCTTTATTTTATTACACGCGAATTTTTCAAATATTTTTCACACGCGCGCGCGCTCGTGTAAAAAAAAAAAAAAAAAACGAAAGAGAGAGAGAGAGAAAATACGCTGTACCTCGGAGGGCCAACATATTCCAAACTTTTTACTGCAAATACTCGTGGCAAAAAAAAATTGATGTTTAATTAATTAGACTTAAGTTTACTTAAAAATAATTAAAAACACGCAGCTTCGAGCGTGCGGCCTCGCCGCAGAAGTTGAAATTAACGAAAAACGTTCTATCTATCTTCTTTAATGGAAAATACGCGCGCGTCAAACAACCGTGTGCGTTCTCGGCCCTCGTAAATTTTGCGGAGTGTTTCCCTCCCTCCCACGAGCGAGAGCGCACCTTAATCCCCGATGCGTTCTTACGGCGCGGCGCGCACGGGTCTTTCCGACCTCTTCGACTATTAATCGCGTCTACGCGACGGCGTGCCACGCGGACCGCTTCATTACCAGGGAACATTAATGCCGGGCGGCACGTATACTCCCAAATTTAAAATGCACGAGATCTAAAGCTCGGTTAATAAACGCGTTTAGTGGCAGTAAAACTTCTTGTTAATGGCGCGCCCGACTTTATGTATCTTACCGCGCAAAGTTCCCGGAGAATGCACGAAGCTGGTATTTTTTTTATTTTCTCTTTTACGTCGCCGAAACAATGTGGGGATTTAGTATCAGACGTCTCGGCCACGTAGATAAGACCGCGATAAGACCGCGATAATACCGCGTTCTCTCTCTCTTTCTCTCTCGTCTCTCTCCTTTTGCTCTCTTTCTCCCCATTTAAGTGAGTTTCTCCGTACTTCGTAAATAGAACGAAAGCTTCTCTACAAATTATTTCAACTTGTATAATTCTGTAACAGGAATGTTTTATAACTTTCATAATTGTAATGGAATATAATACAACGTATTGTGTCAACGTGGAAATAAAGTGCTCAGGCTTTGAGCGGAGGTGAAATAAACACCGTTTCTCTCTCTCTCTTTCTTTCTCTTTCTCTCTTTCTCTCTCTCGGTATAATTCGCCGCGCGTACGTCTAACAACTTTTCTCAAATGTTTCGCAGCTCCACCTAAAAAGAGGCCAGCGATAACGGGCGAGGAGAAGGTGTACGCGACCGGCGACGTGCTCGCGCTGAATTGCACCAGCGACAAGTCCCGTCCTGCCGCGCGACTCGAATGGTTCGTTAATGGCGAGCAGGTGAGCAACCGCTTTTAAAACATTTCTTAAGAACCACTTCTCGCGGAAGCATCGGGGGGGAAAAGATGTGGCACACAAAGTGGAAACGTTAAACTGCCATTCTTCCCTCCTCCTCCTACTCCCCGTGAATTACTTGGGTGTATCATTTTGGCCAAATTGATACAACGAAAGAAAAAATGAAAAAAAAAAGAAAAAACCAGACGATAAAAAAGCGAAAAATAAAACTTTTTGCAATTGATGTGGTATCATTTAAAAAAAAAAAACGTGTACAACAAAAAAACGAGAGAGAGATCTGCGTTGTCACAACGAGTTGCCGAGCTTGTGCACAAAATCCGTAGGACATACACACGCACACACACACACACACGTACACACACAGCATCGATGCTTGAAATAGCACGTGGGCAACGTAGCGGGTGAAACGTGGTCACGTGTTGGGATTGGCCGGCGTCGCACGAACGCTGACCGGGGTGAAAATCGAGAGAGGGGTGAAGCGAGCAAGCGGCAAGTTGGGTTTCACACAGTAAGCCGACTGCGAGTCCGCGACGTGGCTCGATTTCATCGCGCGGGCAACGGCGACGCTTGATGAGCCAAAGCTCCAATTAACGGCCGGCGGAACGAATCCAATCGTCAGCTGCGCCATCAGGCAACGGTGCGCTGTGAGCACCGACGGCCGTCTAATGCGCGCGAACACACACCCCGTGATTTCATCTCGCCTTCTCAACGGGTTCTCTCCTTTCCTTCCGTTCGCGGTCTCCTCCGTGAGGAGAACATCTCGCGAATCGAGCGAGAGCGCGATTTCGTTCCGGAAGGGACAAGGGAGAAGAGAAAAAAAAACACAATCGGTGGCTCTCTCTAATTAATCCGCGCAATGAAAAAGAGTCAATTTGCGTTCGCGGTGGCGGGAAGCTCGTTTCCGGATGAGAGAAGAAAGATTTCGCGCGAGAGTTTCTCTCCGCTTAATCGTTATCTTCTTCTTCGCCGCGCGCGATGATCCCAGATGAATTTAGAGAGAAACGGGGGCTTTATTCTTATCCGAGATTCCGCTCCGTGTTTTTAAATCCAACACGCCTGTCTGCCCGGTTAGGTTAACTACTCGTCGGTGTGTGTCGCTGTTTTTTTCGCTCGGCAGAGGAGAACGAACACGCGATAAATCGACGCGAGAACGGGGAAGGAAAAAGAAAGCCCGGCCTTGCCCGGCTCGGTCGAGCCTTTTTTATTTCGCTTTATTTCGCGTTATTATTACAAAGTTTCCGTTCTCTCGCCATGTCACGAATAATTCAATCCTTCTATCGCTTGAGGCTGCCGGGGCTTCTATCGCATGCATATTGATGTATCGTTATCGCGGCGTAGCTGCCGAGGGAAGAAAGCCGCGGACATTCTCTCTCTCTCTCTCTCCCTCAAGCGAGCGAGAATATAAGAAAAAAGTTTTGATTAAAATTACCAAATGTGAAAATGGAGCGAATATTTTTCAATCCGGAACGGATACGTGATTATCGGTTTCGGCGTAAACCCAATTACCAAGTGCGCGTTATCAATGTTATATTAAATTCGTGTAACAAAAAAAACACACACAATTAGAAAAGGTCGTCCCTATCGAAACCCGGTCCGATTTTTGATAAGGTCATCTCCGTCTCAATTATTGTTCCCGTCCCGATTTGTTTCCGATTTTGTCTTGTCAATACACATTCCGAATTGAAAATGTCACAGGATTAATTTTCAAATGTCAAAAAATAAGTTTGATAATTTTCTCATTTAGACCGGGCGAAATCATATGTTTTTTTCGAAAAGTGCAGTAGAACAAAAAACGAAATAGGAGAACAAACGATTAAACTATTTGAAGTGATTGACGCTACAAGTTGATTGGAAAATAATTTGACATCACAAACTCTTGTGTCGCGCACCGAGCACTAACACAAAGCGCGTCGAAAGTGCGATAAGCTCCGGTTTCCCTGAGTGTTCGTATCCTCTTTGTTTTGCGCTCGTTAAAAGCGAAGCGTTTCGAAAATCGGCGACGGAAAACTCGCGGTAATCTTAAACTACATAACGTAATCGCTGAGTCTACATGACCTTGCTCGCGCAGAAAATAAAACAAAACTCCGTCGGAGGTCTTTCCGCTCCTTATAAAAATTTACCTGAGCGTATACCAGCGAAGTATCACACATCCTCGTGTTTTCCTCGCGAGGTTTCCTTCGAGCGTCGCGTCGTAACGTTGCCGAAAACATGAAATTACGACGCCTCGGAAGTATTCAATTTGCGAAAACCGAGACGGGGGGGAGGCTACTTTCTCATTGTTTATATAAGCGATGATGTTTTCGTCGCGGGATCGCGTTAAAGAGAGAAGGAGGAACATCTATAATAAATACAACAACGGAATGAGAGAGCAAAGATCGCGTTTCGAGCGGAAATGCTTTTCGGGGTTGGGTTTAAAGACCAGAAGATTACGCCAATATAACGAGGAGCGGCGCTTCTTCAGAGCTTTGCAGTGAATCGCATGCGGCGTCGCCGAAACTTTCTCCCTTATCTTTTGGACTCCGGTCTCTTCCTTTTCCGCGGCAACACCACCCACTCTCTGTGTCTTCTTCCTCCCTCTCTCCCTCCTTACATCGCCCATCCCATGCGCTTTCCCTCCGAGAAAACTTTGCAACGCTCCCAACGACGTCCATTAGAAGTTGCGCGAGTTTAGTATAGCACTTAACAAGTAATATTGTTTCGGAAATGTTCGTGTCGCGAGACTCGAAAAACCTGTTAACGCGAGTCAAGTAATCTCGCCAAGGGAAAAAGTTCGATCGCTCCGACAACTTCGGGGGAGTACGTCGTGGATGAGCAAGCATGACGGGAGAATCATTGTCGCTGTAAAACAGAGAGAAGGAGAGAGGAAGAAGAGATTTTGTCGGAAACGATCAAGACGTTCCACTTCTCGATCTCTGTTACTATTCAAAGAAAATCCCCGCTTAATTCGAATTGATTTAATTTTATATCTCTGGAAAATAAAATATTCTATTTCGTTCCGTCTCAAAACTCGGAATATATTGTTCGGGATCTTTCAACGTCTCGGTATTGTTTCGAATCATGAACGAGCGCGTCCGTTATTCAATTTTGCGATCTTGTGTAAATTTTTACGCGGAAAATTTGAATTCGACTTCTGGCCGATGTGTGTCTTTTTCGCGATGGATATTTTAAATTCCAGGAATCATCAAATTGGGTCGTTTCTATATGTGAGACAAACCGAACATTCTGAAATGAATTTTTGAATTGAATTCGGTGCGAATTATTGTGTGTATTAATTTACACGTTAAAACAAATATAATGTACATTTTTGCACAAACATTGGCTCACACACTGACCGAATATAACTCTCTTGACTGTTTTGATACATGAGCTTGAATTTCTTGTTAAATTTTTAGTTTTAATTTATTTTCACGACCTTTTATTCAAAACAAATAATCTCTATGCTTTCCTGGTTGCGAGTACACGTACGCTATTACGTGTATCTGAATTTTTTTAAAGGTGCAAATGTTTAGAATGTTTCATTTTTTTTCGCCATAATTATCACAGTCGTGTGCGCATAAAACGTTATAATAATCATCTCTAGCTCCGACGATCACATCATGCGAGAACAAAACGAGAACAACCGATTTCCAAATCTTTGCGGAGTCGCGACGCTTTTTTTTTTTTAACCCTTTCTCGTACCTCGTCGTCGTTGTATAAAAGACGAAGAAAATAGACGTTATTCTGCGAGGGTCGTCGTCGTCGTCGTCGTACCGAGCGAGAATTTTTATGAATTATGCCGCCATAAAAGAAGTGATCTACGCGCCGTTGTGACTTGTAACGGCTGCCGCTGCACTTCACGGAGGAGGAATATTATGTCGCGGTCGTTGGCTCGCAGCGAGAGAGGGCGTTAATAAGATGGAGAGAGTAATTTCGCGGGTCCTAATGAATTCTTTCTGGTCGAGCAAATGTTACACCGACCGACGATGCGACCGTTTTGAGAAACCGATTCTCGGTCTCTTCTCTCGCACACGCGGAGAGACCTCCTCGGTCTCGCCCGGATTAGGTACGGTACCCGGTCGAAATCCGTTAACATTACACCAATTAGTTTTTACGACGGCCTTTAGTGCTTTCTGCTTCCGCCATTACGCGCAAAATACGTACGTTACCACCACGTGTATTTCGCTGCGCAATAACGAAACGCCATTATGCCGGAGCTATTACGTTACAATCGAGACTAGTGAATTATGTCGCGATAGCGGGGAATAATATGTATGCGCGAGATGTTTCGATAAATAAGGTAACAAGAGAGGTAACTCACGCTGAGGTCTCGTTACTTTATGCACCCGGGGGCTTGCTATTTCGATACGTAGCCGCGAGTGCAAAATTGTAGGATTGGAATCGCCGGTTAAATATAAGTGTGTACATTTATACGTACAGGGTGTCTGAAAAATTCTGACACGACCGAAGTGTGAAGGGTAGATTGGGTCAATCCACGAACACGTCACTTGGCAAAATTCGCAATATTTATTGAGTTATTAATTAACGCGAGCCAATGAGTTGTATTGCCGTGAAAATCAGCTGATCGCGAGAAGCTGTGTCACATAATAATAATAATAATAATAATAATAATAATAATAATAATAATAATAATAATATCTTTATTAAAGAGCTAGAAGCAAATAAGAATAAAAACAACAACAACATATCACCTTTTGCTACTTTTCAGACACTCTGTATATGTATGTACGTATAATGTATCGTCAGAAAATCGTAGAAAACTAAAAAAAAAGTCGGAAATGCGACCGAGGCGGGTCGCGAGTCGCAATCAGCAGGATCAAAGGAATAGAATCAGCAAGTAGAATCGAGAGAAGGTAGCTTAAAAAATGATTTAATTCCGCCCCGACGGTGGATTTTCTTATCCACCCGTTGTTATTTTTTTATCAGACTATACGCGCCCCGAGAGACGAACTGCCCCGGACTACGACGACGACAACGACAACTGTTCAAAGATAAGCGCGTAAGTGCGCGCGCCGTGGCTGCCCCAGAAAAGAAAGAGAGAGACGACAAAATTGCATCGTATATCTGCACAAAGTAGAATTTATACAAGCAAATGTATACAATGCGCGGGGGCGCGCATCAGGGATGGAACGCGCGCGCGTGTCTGGCTACAAAGGAAAACGCTCGGCTACAAAACCGAGCAGCAGCAGAAGCGCTGTAGAATTCATAAACGGCCGGGGGTGAACGCAAAGCTCTCGCGAATTTTGTCGATAATATGCCGAAACGATATCCGGACCGATGAAATATTTCGACGCATACTCGGCCGGGATCGTACGTCTCTCGTTCTCGTTCTATCTCCTTTGTGTATCATCAGCATTCTTCTTTCCCTTCCCAAGAGAACGCTTGTCCGTTATTCCGAGGGAACGAGTATTGCATCGACTGTCCCTTCGCTAGCGTCTAAACGACAAGTCGAGAGACAAGTTTCGCCGTTCTCATCTCATTTGCCTAGCCGTGCTAGTGCTTGCCGTCTCGCGATTTCGTTACCTTAATTACGGAATTCTGCGCGTCTTCAAACGAGCGTCATCGCCCCGAAACTTCCGACAAAGTTTCGCCCGTCAACTTTCGCACGTTTCCACTCCGTCGTCCGTCTCTGACGACGACGCTCGCATACACACACAAACACACACACATTTGCGTCCAAGTTTTTCGCTCGCGACAGAAATATTCAAAAGCCGTCTGTGCTTGTCCGCGCATAAAGTTCGACTCGCAAGTGGTGGCGCGCGCAAGAGCTGGTGTTTATTAATAGAAGAGACGGGGCACAGGGTCGAGTGTGTCTCCCGACTTCCGAAGATAAACGGGAAGACACGTACAGGATCATGTAAGCGTAGAATCGGGTGAGGGAGAGAGAGGGTGGAAGAAAGACGCGGCGCGACGTAAGCGAGTGGAATTGTGTCGCGCGGCGACAAAAAATGGAAATTCCAGTCGCATAAAATACGACGTGCGGCATAAAGAACTTGGAGAACTTGAATTACAAAGCGACAGCCTCGTACATATATATATATATATATATATATATATACACATAATATATATATATATCTGGCGGTTGCATAAAGTTGAGACATGGATGCGGCAGAATCTGACAAACGCGCGAGAAGAGAGACGTTGGAAAGTAGCACATTTCGCCGCGCGTTTTAGCACCGCGGAGCAATAAATATCAACGAAAAGAAAAAAAAATCTCGCATCTATGTGTAACCGCGTCTATGTCGCGCTTATGTTCCCGTCGCGTTCGAGTATCAAAAAAGATGCGCGCGCCACGGCGCATTTTCGCTCTAGGCGCGACGGCATTTTTTCATCCAATTAATTTTAATATTCACACAAACGCGCGGAAGAGAGTGTTTCCTCCAAGACGAGAGATTTCCGAGAGTGTTTCCACGTCACGCCGTTCCCCGCGTTTTTTTTTTTTATTTTTTTAATTTTTTTTTTTTTCGTTTCACGCGCGGTAAAAGCCGTGCTTTTTAACGAACGGAGGATAATAACGTTTGCTTCATCTCATACACAACAATAATGAGAACTTTATCCGAGGTATCGGCGTTGTTTGCCAACACGCCTGTTTACATTTAATTCCATTTCAACACGATACTCCGTAATCAAGTTCGCGATAATCTCGAAGCTGCTGCCGCGCGCGCGTCGATATTAACTTCGTCTCTAAACGATATTTGTTCGTTCTATCGCGCTGCACGCGATGCGCTCTCTCTCTCTCTCTCTTTCTCTCCGCGCAATCCCCCGTGCGGAATCGGGGCGCAATCACGTCGTGGTATCGCGCGCGAAGCGCATTACCGCCCCGGTTGTGTGTCACATTTACGTTTCTCATTTTCCCCTTTTCGACGTTCTCCGTCCGCGATCCCGGCGCAATAACGCGCCGGACGTTTCGCGCGCGTTTCTCTTGTCCGATTCGCTCACCTCCCACACGTACGATTACGCGCGCGTTCCCTCCCCCTCCCCTTAACCCAAAGCGCATATCTTTACATCTTGCGCAGTCCGGATTTATGTCGCAAATTAATTCTAGCGAGAAACTCGGTTAATTAACACACACACACACACATACACACGTACATACACGGATCACAAAATGGAAAAAAGCGCGTAATTAGCTGCTTTAATTGCGGCAGACACGAACAGCAGTTTCTCTCGCGAACGAGATTGTTGAATTAATTTTGCAGTTTCTTTCTATTTTCTTAACTACCGGCCGGGGCTATTCTCGGATCTGATCATATTTTCTTGAGATTTAATTGCTCGCACGGGAGTATGTACGGGGAGATTAACACAATAATCCGACTCGAGCAATTCCGCGTGATTTGCGAAAAGATGGTTTATATTCCCGACGAGGAACGTCGATCGAATGAGCTCGCTCGTTGCGGCTCAACGGGACGACTCGTCGCGACGCGAACCATGCCATTCATCCTTTCCCCGATGCCGGAATCGGAAAGTTACTTTCAGTGCGATTGGATTTCGATCGCCGCGAGGAGGAGGAGGAGGAGGAGGTGTACAGCAATACACAACGTATTGCTCAACGAAACGCGCTGAATTTTTTTTCCTTCTTTTTTTGCAGGTGAGGGAAAACGTACCGAGCATCACGCTAAAAGATGACGCGGGGCTGTACTTAACGGTATCGAGTCTACTGCTCGGGCTGGAGCCGGGCCATCTCACCCACGACAAGATAAACGTCAGGTAATTTCGGTCTTTACAACGTGTAGTATATTTTCGTCGACGATGGGAGCCTCGTTGCATCTCCCGGCCGTTCTATATCCTCCCCGTAAATGCAAAACGTACATCGCTCGCTTCGCACACGCGCGAAGTATTACGTTTATACGCGGGTGCTTCCCCGTTTTCGCGAGCGATAAACGGGAGATAATAATTTATCCCTCCGTTTCCGGGCCGGGAGGAGGAAAACCAGGCGACTGATCCCTTCGACTCTCCGTGATCGAGACTTGTCTTGTTACAGGTGCAAGGCTACGGTGCAATCGAGTCTCAACATCGACGATCCGTTCGTCGACACGCGCGAGACCCAGGTCTTCGGTAAGTCCACGTGACGCCGCGCACAATCGATACGCGAACTCGAGATCGTCTGGATGAGATAAACGACGAAGGCTCGAGGCCATCCCGAGAGCACTTCGGGAGCTCTCTCGAACAGCTTTCTGGCCATTTTCGGTTAAACATTAAATTAAAAAATACTCGACTAACAACAACAGCAGCTTCGAGGGGAAAAAAAAAATGAAGATAAACGGAATAGCTAAACGGATGTTAATTAATCGCGCGTTGAGTTAATTTTTATAGAAGACGTAACAACTCTCTCGCGATAACATGTGAGAAGCGGAAATTCGTGTATGTAATTTGAAACGCCGCGGAACACGCAAACATCGACAGCGGAATCGGAATTACATTCAAAGCTATTTGGTATTTGTGTTCAAATTTTCCGCTTTTATGTGTTCACATGTTTTGTGTTTTACCATCCTTCCTTCTCGAACAATCCCCCCGTGCAACAACGAATAATGCGCGTTTTACCCCCTCGTATAACACACGCGTGTTAAACTGACAAATTTAATAATTATAATCCACGAGAATTCAAAAACTTTAATCACGCACACGTAGTTTGAAATAGCAATGTCGCGCGTCCCGGAGAATAAATCGTGTGTCGCGACAGAGAGAATATGAGAATTAAATCATTTTAGTCCATAATGTGCCTTTATTAAATTACCGTGTACAGACGCTCGCACGCCAAATAATAATAAATCGCGATGACAAATCTGAAAATGAGAAGTGAATGAGAGAAACGCGATTTAATTATTTAATTATACCTTGATTACACGCGCCGCGTACACAGATGTTTGATTTTTCTATAATTGCGTTACACTTGGTCGAATTTGTATAAATACGATATTGCAGAGCGCAATTATGTAAGATTCTCTCCATGCGCGAGCAAAATAACCGCGTATTTTGCACGACGTATATAAACTTTTGCCGCGACGCTTCATTAATGTTCATTCACAAACCGCGGACGCTAATAGCCACTTTCGACATTTTGGAACTCTCGATACGTGCTTATTACGTAAAGTAAAGTTTTGTTTTTTTGTCGCGCACTTGTTAAGCGAAACCGCGGTTGTGCGCAGAAAATCGCATTTCCAAATTGAATATTGCGAGTGCAACGGGAGATGTGTGTTAACGGGACGGGTCAATGTTTAAGGCAACTTGAAACCCCGAAGCTCGCGACGACGGCTTCGATTACCGATATCATTCCTCGGTGTGGTATTGTTTTTCTTTTTTTTTTTTTTTTGCAAGCGGCGATTGCATAAAGCCACACTCGAGACGTGAAATTTCTGCGGTTTATTATTTTCCCGGGCATGCGAAATTAGCGTGGGACCGCGCGTTGCACAGCAGCGGGGCCCGGGGCTCGAAACTCTCACGGGGAGAGCAAGAGGGTTGCGGAGAAATTAAGACAATAATTTACAAGCGTTACCACCTGCTCTCGCAACATGCTTGGGTCTACACCTGCAGCTCAACCCTCCTTCGCCTTCCCCCGACGGATTCACTCCGCGACTCCGTGCGTTTGTTATCGTCTAATTCCCACTTAAATTAGTTCCGACCACTCCACCACCTCCTCTCTCCCTCTTTTCGCCCTGGAAACCGCCTTCCTCATCTTCGTCGTATTCATCCGCGTCGGCGAGGCAATCGATAAGGCCATACGCACACGCAATAAATGCGAAATTACAGAAGCGTATATCGTTTCCCTTGCACGAGGTGTCGCCGGAGGTGGGAAATCAGGGTGTCGAATCACAGAGAGAGATAGGGAGAGAGAGAGAGAGAAAGAGAAAGGTTGCGAGGGCAAGAGGAATACGTGATTCATCAGATCGGCGTATCTCACGTGCTATCTGTCTCTCTGTATGTATTCGCGCGCGCGTCCCTGACACAACAACGTGACCGCGGCGCGCGCAACGCGATTAAATATTTATCAACTAATCCCTCGCGTCACGCAATATTCGAGCTACAATAAGAAATTCACAATTCGGCGCGCGCACGCTCGCACAGAGGACGCGGCACACACTGATATCGCTAAAAGTGTGCGCCCCTTACTCCCTCCGCCGATATGCATCACGAGAGCTTCACCGCAATAGTATTTTTCGGCTCGCCCGATGGACCATAAATCGACTTTTCGCGAGAACACTCGGTTTTACACGCGGTGCGGCGGGCAATATTTTGCAGCAATGTAAGCAGACTATTTTTCGTGGAAACATGCAGACACACTCGCAGTTGACTGGTCGTTGAAATCGCGATAGCGAACGGATGGGAGAGAAAAAGAGAGACGGAGAGAAAAAACACGAATAAAAAAAAAAGAGAGAGAGAGAGAGAAGGAGGAAGAGACGCGGAATTCGTCTGTAAGCGTTGCGCCGCACGATTCGGGTCAATTTTGTCGGAATCAGCCGCCATATATAGCCGATCAGCTAGCGATTCACGGCGTTTCAAGCGCTCGTCTTTCTCTCTCTCTCTCTCTCTCTCTCGTATCTCTCTTTTATTAGCGCCACAAAGGTAATCAACGATTTACCACATTTGTACACGATTGCTCGCCGGCGAAAAACACGTCGAAAAATACGCGACCAACGGAACACCTGCGGCGGACAGCGACATGTTTCTCGTCTGTAATTTACAGGGTGTTATTACGTGTCGCGCGCGAGTCCTCTCTCTCTCTCTTTCTCCCGTTCTCTCTCTATTTTTGTAAGTTATATCCGCTGAAATATCGGCGCTAAGATAGCAGAAACAGTTGTAGGCGACACCAATTGAGCGGAGTATTATTTTAGAGATTAAGGTCGAGGGCCGATAAAATCAACGATTTGTTACATCGCGACGCGATTAGCGGACAGTCAAAAAAACGAGAGACGCGGCGAATATCGCGAAGAAACAAGACAAAAAAAAAAAAAAAAAAAAAAAAAAAAAAGACAAGCGCCGACCGTATACCGGTATAGCTAATCCGAATGAAACGA